AGTATTATGGGTATTTGTCTGGTGATACTGACAATACTTCTCTATAGAAGCAACCTGCCTTGCTCGGGCTAGTCGGAAATCATGAGCATTTGGGACTGAAGGTCCATCTTTCGAAGCCATACGCAAGTTCCAAATGCGTTGTGCCGCATCTACAAGGGAAGGTAATAAATCATCCTCTTTTAAAGCCAGAGCTTCTCTTAACCAATGTGGGAGTCCCTGAAGGAATACACGTCTAATCAGCTCATCTGGCGCACCTATTGCTATTGGATAATCTCTGTAGCCTTGATAAACCAACCCTTCAATCGAGACGAAAAAATCTAAAGGTGCCTGGCCATTCGTTAATCTCGAGCTATGCAAGTGTTTGAAGAACTCTGTACTTGAGCAAGTTCCGCGAAATTTAGCCCTTACTAACGCCTTGAAGTCAACCCAGCTAGTAATTTCATCAAAAATCGGGGAATTTACAATTAGGTCCGCAGTTCCTCTACAAGAAGCTCTCGCTGCGCGAATATAAGCTCTATCGCTGGCAGGTTTTACAATATTTTCAATAGCTCGTAGCCATGACTCTACTTCCTGATTCCTTCTAAGTGGAAAAGCTGCGGATACTTCAGCTTTAAAATGCGGTACTGAATCTTCCCTGTGGACTACGCATTCTACTGTAGGCATGATAGGAGCAAGATTAGAAGAATGGTAAGGGCCGACATCCTGTAGCAAGTTCTCGTATCGTTCAGCAAGATTAGCACAACGCTGTTCTAATTCATTACAACGAGTTGTTAACTCCTCATACATTGAAAGATCCATATGTACTGGATTATTATTGTCAACAGGCACGGTAGTATTACTTGAATCGGACATATTGAGATTCCCTTCTGCCCCTGCTTCACTTTGTCTGAGCCGTTTGCTTCTCTTTCCGACCATCTTAAGACTGACTTAGTAAAAGTATAGAATGCCGACTTAAAACATCCCTAAAACAAAGATAAAAGCAATAGAATGGGTCTAAAATACGAACACTATAGCCAAAGCTAATGAATTTAATAAGAAATCAAAATACCATAAATCTGATAAGACAAATCGTGAAAAATCGTCCCACCGCTGAGCACCATGAAAGCTTTACTTGTCGTGATCTACAAAGTTAACTTCGACCCTTGTACGAAATATTTGGGCTGCCACCACCTGGTTAATTCGTCCAGGAACGTATGTGTCATGTTCGGAAAGTGAGAGGCATGTAGAAGAGTGTAGGTAAGTTAAAAGAAAGCAAGTGTAAGTGTGTAGAAAGTACGAAGGTTCGAGGGTCAACACTGGTTAGCGTGAATAATGCCGAGATGGAGTGCGTGACGATTGTGCAGACTATGGTATCAAGAAGTTAAATCTATTTACTTTAAAATACTTGGACACGAAGGGGAAACATAATGGAGTCTAAAAAAACAGTAAATACATTTCACACAAAAATTTATTTAAAATATAAATCTTTTAGTTCCAAGACAATTAAAAAATGGAGAATCACCCTCCCCATATTCCAAACACAGGTGGGAATAAAAGTTCAAGACAAACTGACGTTAAAAAAAAGAACCCTAAACTTCAAACACGTAAATGTGAACTGGTAAAAAAGATTAGAAAAGAGAACACTGAACATTAAAATTAAATGCGAAAAAAGTAAATGAACTCTAAAAGGAAGACTGAACAGCAAAGATAAAAAAGAGCACATCACCTCATTAAAAAGAGCGAAAAAAGTAAAAAGATGCCATCTTACCGCCTCTTACTACGTAAAACCTCACGACCAGGGACCCAACGCCTCACGGCTAAAAGATGCTCAAAACCCCCCTTGACCTGGCCATTCGGGATCTATATATAACCCTCCCAGCAAGCATGAGTAAAAAAATGAGGTGAATCTCGGGTCAAACCAGGTGAAGGTCGCGTAACTGTTAAGAGATGGCGGTGTCTTACCCTCTTAATAAAATGCCGTTTCCCCCTTAAAAAGACTGTTTGATTTAAAAAGACATCTCAAAATATGTTAAAGGGTTATTAAAACCTTAATAGAAAAAGAGTAGGAAGATTATCTGATCCACCATGAGGCACAATGTGCTCTTTTGTGCCGTTTAGGTAACAGAAAACGAGAATAAAAATACAATTCAATATAATTCACCACATAAAAACAATTACACCATAAAAACACATGCAACAACAATTTCTGCAATTTCCCCTCCCCAGCTTCCCAGACACGAGTCATCCACGGGCATGGGCGGTCTTATTTGTTTTTCAGAGGGGAGACTTTCCTTCGATTCCTCCGCCACTTGGCTGGAGATTCACTACAACACCTCCCCACCAAAGTCCGTTAACTTCAGTTGGCGGACTCAATCTGCAAGTCGAGAAAATGGCCAGAGACTTCTGAAAAGAGAGGATACATTAGTAAAAGGTCTTACATAGACGGACACCTTCGTCCTTTTCTCAACTCTTAATAAGGGTAGATGTGCACAACCGAGAAGTAAAACCCCAGAAAACGAAGATCAAAAATCTGCGACAAACTCCCCACAGGAACAAGGTGCTACTGGCCAAATTCTCAGAGACCTTACTCTACCACATCATCAGGATCCACTTCAGACTCAATGTCGGACTCAGGGTACGCAATCTCCCTTGAAGGAACGTATGGGCGCATCTGGTTAAGGTGATAATTGACCTCTGTGTACGGTGGGTCAGGCTCACGGACCATGTAGTTTACTGGCCCAATCTTCTTGACGATGCGAGCAGGTTTACTCCATCTTGGTCCCAATGCTCTGGCCGAACCACCCTTCTGCAGGGTCAAACCTCTGCCGTACCCGGCGGTTGTAATCTCGGGCCCATCCTCGTTGGGCCTTTCGTGCTGCTTCCTTCGCAGTTAGTCTCGCATATCTGAGGCTTGCTCTCAATATTTGGGCCGTTTCTTCATCAGTATCCTGCTCATTGGTTAGTCCTTGTGGGAAATAGCCATCTTTCCCAGTGAGGAGATACAAAGGCTGCTGACCTACGCTTCTGTGCACTGCACTATTAAGGGCAAGTCGTACGAAGGGTAGTATCTCATCCCAGCTATCAGGATACTCTCCAACCAGTGTAGCTAATGCATCCTTCACTACCCTGTTGCTCCTCTCTATCATCCCATTGGCCTCTGGATGATACCGTGTTGTGTAGTGAGTTCGGGTCTGGATTATCTGGCACACCTGGGAAAACAGACGATTATGAAACTCTCGTCCATTATCCGCCACCAACAAACGGGGTGGACCAAATAGTGTAACATACTCCTTTATAAATGCATCAGCCACAGTCTGAGCCTCCTTGTTTGGCAGGGGTATTACCTGCAGGTATCTTGTAAAGTGATCAATGATGGATAAGACGTACCTATTGCCTCTTGCAGATCCCATCAAATCTATCAGATCCACCGATACCCTTTCCATTGGCTGAGAGACTTCAGGCATGGAAGCTAGTGGGGCTCTTCTTCCAGCGCGGCCTTTCCTACGTTGGCACACTAGGCAGGAATTCACATACTTCTTGGTCTCAGCCAGCATTTGGGGAAATTAGTAATGATCCCTGAGACGACAGTAAGTTCGGAAGAGTCCGGGATGAGCAGAGGCCGCATCTGCATGGATAGCCTCCAGAGCCTTGGTCCGCAGAGTACGTGGAATTACCAGCTGATTGACAACCCTTCCTGGAAGCACCCGGAGATGGTACAATAGGTTGTCCCTCATCTCGAACTTCCTCAAGGTTGAGTGGGATCCTGCGTTGGGGTATCCTCTGTTCCTGAAGGTAGCCACGAATCTCACTCCACAATGGATCTTCCTGTTGAGCAGCAGCCACTGTCTGGGGATCCAATATCTCATCAATTGGGGAAATTTTACGACTCAATAAATCTGGCACATAATGTGATGCACCAGGTTTGTATATTAATTGATAGTTATAAAAGGAAAGTTCATGGCTCCAACGAGACATGCGCAAAGACTTTGTCTTTCGAGAAAACACATGAACAAGAGGACGGTGATCAGTCACAATGACAAAAGGCCTACCGTATAGATAAGAATCGAAGGTTCTTACTGCTTCTACCACCGCCAGAGCTTCCACATCAATAGTTGGGAACTTGTTCTCTCCCTGCCGCAGTTTCCTGGAAAAGTAGGCTACAGCACAAGGTTTACCTTGGTCATCTCTTTGTATTAAGCAGGCACCAATCGCCACACCAGAGGCGTCACAATGCACCTCAAAGGGACGGTCGAAATCTGGTTGCCTAAGGATCGGCTCTGAAGCTAGCTTTTGTTTCATGGCTTCAAAGGCTGCTTGCTGCTCTGAACACCAGCGGAATTTTGCCTGCTTCTTCAGCAGAGCCGATAAAGGAGCAGCTATAGTGGCATAATCCTTGACGTGTCGTCGAAAGAACCCAGTGGCTCCCAAAAACTGGCGCACTTGCTTCACTGTCTGTGGGGCAGTCATTTGCATAATGGCCTTCACCTTGTCTGGATCTGGAAGGACTCCATTTGGTGTTATTAAATGACCCAAAAACTTGAAGGATCTCACTGCAAATTTACATTTTTTTAGATTAAGCCTGAATCCTGCCTTAGCTAACAGACCCATAGTCTCATCAAGATGCTGGAGGTGTTCATCAAAGTTCCTAGAGGCCACAACAACATCATCCAAGAATGCGAGGGTGTGTCTTCCCAAGACTGGGTGTAGTACTGCGTTAATGGCTCTCTGGAAAGTAGAAGGGGCTGTAGCCAGGCCAAATGGCATTCGCTTAAACTGAGAAAAGACGACAACCATCAGTAAATGCAGTCTTTTGCCGATCATTTTTATTGACCTCCACTGTCCAATAGGCAGACTTGGCATCTAAAGCCGTGAACCAGTGAGTGCCTGCTAGTTTGTCTATAGTTTCATCAAGTCTGGGCATTGGGTAAGTATCCGATCTTGTGATTTTGTTAAGATTACGAAAGTCTATACAAAACCTTATACCTCCGTCCTTCTTTCGCAGCAGGACCACAGGAGAGAGCCACGGCGAAGTAGAAGGCTCAATTATTCCATCACGTAACATAGTTTCACATTCTTGTCGTATGGTATCACGTGCGCTTTCCGGTAATCTCCACTGTCGGGTACGGATAGGTCCATCTGAAGTTATAATATGATGGTTAATATCTGGCATACAACCTAAAGGGGCATCTTCATCAAAGAGGTTAGAATGTCTCTCCAAGATCCTTAATAACATCCCACATCTCACTGTCCCTAAATGTTCCAGGTTCTCCTTTGGAATTATTCCTTTCACGCCCGAAGGAGTTTCAATGTTACATACGTCCATGCTTACCGGTGGAAAGATATCAAAGTCACCACGTGAATAACCAAAGTCACCAACACCATAGCGTTCATCAAATTCATCGGTGAAGTCCTCCCATGCCACCTTATCACTATGCTCAGCATCACCTGGAATATTTACAGAGTCATTATATGAATACACACTATCGATTTCTGATACACTTGCCAATTTCATTCCCATTTGCAAAGTCACTGGGTGAGTCTTATCATTAATTATCCACACAGAAGCACTATCATTGTTCACTGCTATTACAGTCCTGGGAACCAATACCTTTGCAGTCTTTCCTTGCACAAATCCATATGGGTGTGTGAATTCCCTGGATACCATTGTCTTCACAAAACATCCCGACTTGGGTGGACAGATCATGGTTTGAGTCACTAATAATACAGAACACTGGGGTTCAATTACATTCTGAGGTTTACATGCTAAATTTATAGTTCTAATACCTAGAGAGGTGAGATCAGAAAACCAAAAGGGCACCTTTACATCGTCAAAAGACATGTAATTCCCAGGTGGGGTGTGGTTGGCAACAAACTGAAAGTTAAACCTGCGAACGAAATCTATGCCTAGCAACACGTCCCCTGGAAATGATATATCTTTGAAAACTACAACTGGGTGGGTACACTGTACTAGGTCGTCTATACAAAAATGTACATTCGTTTCTCCCTGACCACTAAATATGGCGCCGGAAGCACCCTTGAATGTTCGTCCAGTTGGTGTAATTGAATGGATATTCAGCCTCTTGCTAACACACTCGCTAATAATCGTGACTTCTGAACCAGTATCTAAAAAACAAGTACACAACATACCATTTACATGCATATATAGGAGAGGACGACCGCGGTTATTTTGGTTCTGCAGAACCATTACCTTGTGAGCCTGGTGCTTCTTGGTTGTCTGATCTTTGCCTCGGTTCATTTGGTCTCCCTTCATGAATCCCCTCACGTGCTGGTGAAGACCATGTCCGACCGTGAGGCGGCAAAAAGGGACATTGCCTCGCAAAATGACCCGTTCCTTGGCAATTAAAACATCTAAGAGTTCTTTGACGCAATCTGCACTCTTCAGTATTATGGGTATTTGTCTGGTGATACTGACAATACTTCTCTATAGAAGCAACCTGCCTTGCTCGGGCTAGTCGGAAATCATGAGCATTTGGGACTGAAGGTCCATCTTTCGAAGCCATACGCAAGTTCCAAATGCGTTGTGCCGCATCTACAAGGGAAGGTAATAAATCATCCTCTTTTAAAGCCAGAGCTTCTCTTAACCAATGTGGGAGTCCCTGAAGGAATACACGTCTAATCAGCTCATCTGGCGCACCTATTGCTATTGGATAATCTCTGTAGCCTTGATAAACCAACCCTTCAATCGAGACGAAAAAATCTAAAGGTGCCTGGCCATTCGTTAATCTCGAGCTATGCAAGTGTTTGAAGAACTCTGTACTTGAGCAAGTTCCGCGAAATTTAGCCCTTACTAACGCCTTGAAGTCAACCCAGCTAGTAATTTCATCAAAAATCGGGGAATTTACAATTAGGTCCGCAGTTCCTCTACAAGAAGCTCTCACTGCGCGAATATAAGCTCTATCACTGGCAGGTTTTACAATATTTTCAATAGCTCGTAGCCATGACTCTACTTCCTGATTCCTTCTAAGTGGAAAAGCTGCGGATACTTCAGCTTTAAAATGCGGTACTGAATCTTCCCTGTGGACTACGCATTCTACTGTAGGCATGATAGGAGCAAGATTAGAAGAATGGTAAGGGCCGACATCCTGTAGCAAGTTCTCGTATCGTTCAGCAAGATTAGCACAACGCTGTTCTAATTCATTACAACGAGTTGTTAACTCCTCATACATTGAAAGATCCATATGTACTGGATTATTATTGTCAACAGGCACGGTAGTATTACTTGAATCGGACATATTGAGATTCCCTTCTGCCCCTGCTTCACTTTGTCTGAGCCGTTTGCTTCTCTTTCCGACCATCTTAAGACTGACTTAGTAAAAGTATAGAATGCCGACTTAAAACATCCCTAAAACAAAGATAAAAGCAATAGAATGGGTCTAAAATACGAACACTATAGCCAAAGCTAATGAATTTAATAAGAAATCAAAATACCATAAATCTGATAAGACAAATCGTGAAAAATCGTCCCACCGCTGAGCACCATGAAAGCTTTACTTGTCGTGATCTACAAAGTTAACTTCGACCCTTGTACGAAATATTTGGGCTGCCACCACCTGGTTAATTCGTCCAGGAACGTATGTGTCATGTTCGGAAAGTGAGAGGCATGTAGAAGAGTGTAGGTAAGTTAAAAGAAAGCAAGTGTAAGTGTGTAGAAAGTACGAAGGTTCGAGGGTCAACACTGGTTAGCGTGAATAATGCCGAGATGGAGTGCGTGACGATTGTGCAGACTATGGTATCAAGAAGTTAAATCTATTTACTTTAAAATACTTGGACACGAAGGGGAAACATAATGGAGTCTAAAAAAACAGTAAATACATTTCACACAAAAATTTATTTAAAATATAAATCTTTTAGTTCCAAGACAATTAAAAAATGGAGAATCACCCTCCCCATATTCCAAACACAGGTGGGAATAAAAGTTCAAGACAAACTGACGTTAAAAAAAAGAACCCTAAACTTCAAACACGTAAATGTGAACTGGTAAAAAAGATTAGAAAAGAGAACACTGAACATTAAAATTAAATGCGAAAAAAGTAAATGAACTCTAAAAGGAAGGCTGAACAGCAAAGATAAAAAAGAGCACATCACCTCATAAAAAAGAGCGAAAAAAGTAAAAAGATGCCATCTTACCGCCTCTTACTACGTAAAACCTCACGACCAGGGACCCAACGCCTCACGGCTAAAAGATGCTCAAAACCCCCCTTGACCTGGCCATTCGGGATCTATATATAACCCTCCCAGCAAGCATGAGTAAAAAAATGAGGTGAATCTCGGGTCAAACCAGGTGAAGGTCGCGTAACTGTTAAGAGATGGCGGTGTCTTACCCTCTTAATAAAATGCCGTTTCCCCCTTAAAAAGACTGTTTGATTTAATAAGACATCTCAAAATATGTTAAAGGGTTATTAAAACCTTAATAGAAAAAGAGTAGGAAGATTATCTGATCCACCATGAGGCAGAATGTGCTCTTTTGTGTCGTTTAGGTAACAGAAAACGAGAATAAAAATACAATTCAATATAATTCACCACATAAAAACAATTACACCATAAAAACACATGCAACAACAATTTCTGCAATTTCCCCTCCCCAGCTTCCCAGACACGAGTCATCCACGGGCATGGGCGGTCTTATTTGTTTTTCAGAGGGGAGACTTTCCTTCGATTCCTCCGCCACTTGGCTGGAGATTCACTACAATAGAACTTCTGTTAGCTTTATAACTGAATAAAGATATCTAAAATTTGTCAAAGAAAATTACAAACAATAGATTTTATTTGCATCCTTGAGGACCTGATGAATTCCTCCGGGAAAGAACGCTCTAGGGTTTCCCTCAGCTCCCAGATTTCGCACACAGTGTGCCGACTCGGTCCAGATAGCCAGGCCTACGGCCAAATGTACACGTACACAATGCCGTTTAAATGATCCCTTTACCTTCCTTTGAAATGTCTGATGGTTCCTATTGAGATATTGAGATATATTACTTCCATTTGTTTCTGCCCAACACCACCTTAATTTTTTTTCTGCAGATTAAGTCTAATAGTTTTAAGCATCTGGCAGAACCATCACTCTAAACCAATCACACAAATGCTTGAATGATTGCTTAAATTATATCAAGCCTATAATACTTGAATTTTTTGTTATAGTAGCTTCTGGGACATTTAGGAAGATAGAAAAACTAACTCTGTGAACTTGAACAAGAATTGGTGAACTAGTTTATTTTCCTGGGTATTTTGACCTTTTGATCTTTTGGTAAGATTGAGAAACCGCAATCCCTGTGAAGTTGAACAAATATTCATAAGTATTCATGGTTTATTTTCCTGGGTATTACTACATAAACTGACCATACTATTGTCTTTCTCTAATTTTTGATATGGCTGGCCGAACACTATTCACACTTATAATACAATGGTAGCTACTTTATACCATCTATATTATATGCTAATAGTATATTACATTTGAAAAGAATCTCGGATAAAGATAACGAGCTGGTTTAAGGTTTTATTTATCAAGCATTGACCTAAACATACATCATAAAATAATATACTGAAGAATTTTATAATTCATATAATATCTATAATTTATTTAGAGAAATAAAGAAATCTGGTAATTTTGGGAACTCTTGCATGCTTTTACAAACATCTGCAATGTCCCAGAATTGATTACAATATATATTCAAAAAGAAAATTCTCATATTTACTTCAATGTTGTACAGTACTGAATGGTTTTCACTTTTCCACACAGGTCTATCAAGTGAAGCAAGCATGTCAAAGAAATCATCAAATAAATTTTTCTTTATCACCCACACTTGCATCCACTCTTCTAGATAACATTCGAGTTCCAATTTCTTACTGTAGTTTCTTTCTGAATACTCAGTGGTTTCTTCTGGTTCCGTCTTAACAGGCGTTTCCCATAATGGTTCATATTTTTCATCAAATTCAGATTTAACATCATTCACATATTCTTCTTTAATTCTCATAGCTTCGTAATGCACTGACTCGTCTTCATTAGAAGTCACCTGATCTTTGTCTACTGTGCTATGGTCACTACTGACTTGGTTCACTGCAACACTAGTCCCATTTACTGTTTCCTCGTTTGGATTTACCGTTTCATCTACTTTATTCTTTTTAGTTCTGGGATTTTCGTGATTATGATCATCTTCAGGTTTCTTTTTATTATTTCTGCTATGGTCACTACTGACTTGGTTCACTGCAACACTAGTCCCATTTACTGTTTCCTCGTTTGGATTTACCGTTTCATCTACTTTATTCTTTTTAGTTCTGGGATTTTCGTGATTATGATCATCTTCAGGTTTTCTTTTATTATTTTCCTGTATATTTATATGGTTTTCACTTTCACATGATTTACCATCACTATTTTTCTGGATAACTTGGCCAGTACTATCACTTGTTCCCCGGTCTCTAATTTCACGGTCTGAAGAAGTGTTCACTTTACTTTTACTTTTTAACGATTTATTAACTTTCCCAGTCTTTTTTCCTTCTCTTTTTTCATACTGTATTTCGTATTTTAATAGAGTCTTCAAAATGTTCCTCTCTACTTCTCTATCTAATGGTTTGAGTAAATTTCTTTTATCTGACTTTCTAATAACAGTATGTTTATTAACATCAGTTTTCTGTACAATTCCATTCCTCTTTTTCATTTCAATTCGGTCTTTCATAGTTAGCTTATTTTCTAAACAATTCTTTTCTTTGGTTTCCTTTGTTTTTTCACTATTTTTTTCCTCCATATTTCGTACATTTATTTTCTTTGTAACAGACATTTTTTCTTTCATTTTTTCCTTAGGCTGGTCACCCTTCTCCGGAAGTTGCTTCTCTATGGTTCTAGTCCCTTCCAAACCTTTTTCTTTTTCCTGAACCCTTACTTTACTATTACTAGGTCTTTCTGTATTTCCTGTTTTCCCTTGCAATTTACCGTTTCTATCTTCTAAGATATGGTTATCAACTTTACTACCTTTTTCTTTAATGTTTACCCTCGATTCTCTCGTTACTTCCTCATTAGGACTATTTTTTTCGTGCCTTTTCAGTTTTTCCTTTTCATCCAATTCTGTATCCTTACCTCTCAATTTCTCTGTGCTGTCCGCATGCTTCCTTTTCCTTGCATTCCCTGAACTCCAACCAGCCTTTCCTACATTTTCAGAACATTTAGTATTTTCTAGGGTTTTCCTTGTGTTATTTATTCTAAAATCACTTTTATTATATGTTTGATTCACTAAATCCTCTTTACTGGTATCCTCAGTTATTTTT